CATTATTAGGCCAGAAATATAAATAGCAACCCTCGTATACATGTTATGTATTTATTTATTTATTTTTGAAATTACTATTTCTCTTCTAATATTTAGTATTATTGTATAAAAAACAGTGTAAGAAGTAATATAAAGCAACTAGGATTTAATATAAGTTCATTTATTCAATTAATTAAAATTATGGAAAGCGATAGGAAAAAAACAAACATTTTTTTTAAGCAAAATGTTTTTGGTGCGGTATTGAAAATTAAAATTCGTTCGTTATCGAAAACAATCTACTGCAAGAGAACAATTCTTTTAATAGAACGATCCTGTTACAACTAAAATAATGTGATTTCCTTGTTTTACAATAGTTATGCTAATTTTTATGAAACACAAGCAGGATGATCGCGCGATAATCGTATACCATATTTCTTCCCAACGCATTTTGGACATACAATAATCAGGCAATTCCGATTGGAATGATGCTTATAAACTTTGTAAAACATAAGTAAATTAGGATATATTAGTAAATTTGGGTTTATATATGATAAGCCTGGTGGAAGAAACGGCTAAGTCACATTTGTTAAAAAATTTGAGATTTCTCTGGAATTCTTATTTGATCTTTATTTAAATACTAGTTATGCCCTGCATGCATTGCTACGCTTTCAGTTTGAATTCTCTCTCTCTCACACACACACACTTATTATGAAAATTATCGAGTAAGTAAAACAAAAAAAATAACAATATTAAAAACAATTCGAGGAGATCTACATTTCAAACATCCTTAAATTTCATTAGAACATTTAATGAAAAAATATAAAATTTTCAATTTAAATTTATAAAATATATAAATACTAGGAGGCTCCGCCCCCTGCTCTCTAACGCTCGCCAACCCCCTCCAATACTAGGAGGCTCGCCAATTCTATCAATGTTCTTATTGGCTTTTAAAAAAAGTATATTAGCTATTTAGATTGTACATGGTGAAAAAATCAAAACATTAGCTAAATAAGAAACATATTAGCAAAATAAATTATCAAATATTGCTTCACTAATATTCTGCATTTTAAAGCGTGAAAATTCAATGCATAAATAAACGCGAAATATAAAAAAAATTCAATGCATTCAATACAAGCACTTAAACGTTTTTTAGACGTTTAGGTAGCTCCCAGTAGTAAAATATCAATTCAACAGCGGCCTTTTAAAGCATTCTCACTTCAATTAATTAATTAATTCCTAATTGGGTATAATATAAAAAAAAAACACAACTACTTCCACTTAGTAGGAATAACATTTACCATGACGCAATGCTAAATTCTATGCCACTATCCACATAAATCAATTATTAATCAAAAATCGAATATCAATTACTTTTCCTTATAATGCAATAAAATCTGGCAAGCAACTATTTAAACGATCAAACACTTCGTTTGTTTATTTGTGGCTTGAAGTTAGGCTCGCAGAAAATGCCGTTCATGGGTTAAATTTAGTAGGAATAACACAACCTGTGACGTAGGCTATAGTATACCCAATTGAATTTAAATTAAATATTGTCATGTTTTTAGTGCATGAATCTGAATTGAACAACCTGATAATGCTCACTCTGGTTATTGTTATCTGGTTGCTCACTACGTGCTCTTGCGCGCAGAATCCAATCAATTAAAAATGAAAACTGTTGTCAGCGCGAGAAAAGAAATATCATCGGTTTTATTGATACATACATACATACATACATATATACATGCGTACGTATTAGCGTTTTATATAATATAGATGTAAAATAATTCTTTGTAACAGCAGAAATAATTGGAAATATCAAGAAACCAAACCGAAAATAAAAACTCCAGGTCAGATATAAAAATGACCATAAATACCAAATAAAAGTATCAGGTTTTAGAGAAAAAAAATCAAATATTTAGAAAGTTTGTTTTTTCTTTCGGAGTCTATAGTTCAGAAATAAATTAACGTGTTGAGAAAATTTGATAAACATTATAACTTAAAAACATAGTTAAATATATGTATGTCTTGAAATTTGCTATATTAAAAATTATATTTTGTTTTTTCAAACATTAAAAAAAATTTTATGTAAATTTTAAACAATGAAAGTTTTTGAGGGTGTGCTAAATATATGCCATAATAATTCCCTTTATAATCAAAAGTAAAGTTTTGAATATAGAACACTTTTTTAATTTTTCAATTTACTGGTAGGGCAGACTTATATCTTTTTATAGCTTAAATGTTCGGATTATTGAATAATCCGAAAACGAAGAAAGAAAACCAAGAAATTCAAAATCAAAAGCACTATAAAATTATAATACTGATAATGTGCTCTAACTCGCCAAAAAGAATGTTGCAACATTTACGCAGCTCCCTGTTATTTATAACGTTTTTAAACTTGAATATTTTGATACAAAAACGATTATAAATGTCATTTAAAAAACAATCTGTAGTATTAGGAGCAAAACTCATTTCAAATTTAAAATCCCTTCACGCGATTTAGGTGAGATCAAGAGAGTTATTGAACTTATGAACTATAACTGTAATAACTCGGTTAAATTTTTTTAGGATACATTTTGCTCTGGTGGAATCAAACGGTACTCGTTCGTGATTACGAACAACCGACTACTACAAGAGAATAACTGAGTTTTCCTTGACAAAACATGCTTCTGTTTTAAATGAACAAATGTCCTTTGAATGTTTTACAATAATTATCCTTATTTGTAAAAAACACATGCACACGATGGTCTCGCTATAGAGTAATATTATCGTTTTTTAAAAATGATGTTTTTGAGACAAAACCGTTTTGCTTTGTTACTAAAATACAGAAACGAAAGAAATTGTGCACGCTTATCGAAAAATGACACTTGCATCACGAAGAGAGCAAACATGATCTAAAAAATAGGAAAATTTTCCGTTTTATATTATTGTATTTTGAAAGTAAAATTAAAATGAAATATACTTACTGAAATTAAAAAGGGAATTACAACAATATGTTACAAGTTTAATTAAAAAACGTTTTGAAAAAAAAAAACATAATAACTTAATAAATAAAATAATAAATGGATAAAATATCCCTGTTCACATGTAAGGAATAAGATTTTTCTGTTGACTGCTTTAATATTTATTAGAAAGTTCAGAAACGTTCTTCTAGAAACATTGTTTCATTGAAGACGGAAACTTCTGTATTTGAAATTTTCATATTTGAAATTTCATATTTGAATGCAGCAAAAGGGCACATTTATAAATTTTGGTGTAGAAAAATTTAACGGTTTCCATGCAGGCAATTCGATGTTTCAAAGTGTAATGCTGCTATTTAGAGAAAAGTTCAGAAATTTTATTCTGGAAATATTGGGTCAATTCAGGAAGGAAAATCAAAAAGAAATTTATATATTTGAATTTGCTTGGAGCAATACAGCAAAGAGGCTCATTTTTAAACTGTGCAGAATAGCGTTTATGATATAGGGTTATAGCCAGTATTAAGCAAGTTCAACAGCTAACGCATAAATATATTCGATTGGATAAAAATAAGCAAATTTCGAAAACATAAAATTTTGAGACTGTGTGAGAAATGTGAAAAGACACATCCTGGTGCGCACATCCAATATTCCAAAATTCACATTATATTGACAGGAAAGATTTACTCAGAAAATTATACACACTCTTTCTTTTTTCCTTCTTTGGTTGATATAATTGAAATTGTTATCTGTTTTAGGCGTAAGTCAGTCATCCTCTTCAAGTTCATGTCACTCGCAGGAAGCAGGAAGTACCCTCTTGATTCGTGTTGCTGTACCCGTTCAGAAACAAACTTTCGCAAGACGTAAAATTGGTGATAGCTAGATGCCTTAAAGATGAAAAAGAGACTTTTGCTAACCAACAAACAACACCTATTTCCACTCTTAAAGCTACTCGCGAGGAAGCGAGATTCTAGAAAGATTTTGCAATTTGCGGTAAAGCAAATTGTGGTATGCGTGATGGATGCACTTCTATTGAACTTTCATAATTTCGATAAAATGTCTGCATTGAGAGGTACTGGAAAACAAAGTTTTTATTTTTCTGTTGATTATGCAAATGGCACAAAGTCAAAAGTATACTAGCTTCTTAATCTCGGGGAATGACTTATCATACCTGCTATCCATTACCAAGCCATCAGCTTTTAAAGTGTTTCAAAATCACTACGGCTTGCTGTAACTTTGCTTGCCATCGTACTTCTCAGAACGCCTCAGTAAGATATCAAATATTTTTAATAGCTATGAATGTGACAAAATTGTGGAGTGCTCTAAAAAACGGACTGCATAGAATAACTTTTGATCTAATGATCGGATCTTCACGTTCTGTTTAGGAGGAGTGGCCTAAAATATGCTAATAAACTAGTGCAGTCGATACTTTACGTTACGAAATTAGACACAAAAACGTATTTTCTCCGAACAAACATGCCTTTTTTCCAAAAGGAATTCGAATTTCTGAATCGCAAAATATCGGGGGTAGTCGCTATCTTGGAAATATGGTTCCCATAGTATAATCAGGAGATTTATTCAAAGTTTGAACTCATTAATGTTAATTTTGTATTGTACCTTTCAGCAAAAAAATAGATTAAAAATATCATTTAAATCCGAAGATTGGATAGAGTAACTGATTAAGGATGTGAAATGAACGATGCAAAAGTATCCAAGATTCCTTAAAAAAAACCCATGCAATAGAAAAAAATATAGTTGTTCTCCAGGGTCAAAATATCGTTTTTTTATCTAGCTGAAGAGAGTCTTTATATACAAGTATTTTTTTTAAAATTTTATTTTAAAGAAAACTTTTTACAATGAGAACCAAACAGAACCTCAAAGTGATTGGTGGAAATCGGTAAGGTAGATCTTTTCGTATCAAATCTTTTTTTTTAAATAGAAAAAAAAAACATATGTTTATTCAGTTGTATCTCATTTCACGAATTCAAGGGGGGGGGGGAGTGAGAAATAAAACAATATTTAAGCTAAAACCTTCCTCATATTTCTCGCATAAGTGCCCTTTTAGAATTGGAATTCAAGATAGAAATGTTACTCAGATTAATTTGCATTCTCGTTTCAACAGTTGTATATTGTACAGCATTTGATTTATTTAAAAAAGCACGTGAGCATGTCATTCTTGTAGCTGTAACCTCCACTGTAAGATGTGCTTTACACCAATATTGTGACTGTGGTATGCATTTATTTCCAATATTTTGTTTGTAGTCAAAATTTGCATGCATAATAGATTAATTTTAATTTTTATTTCATAACCGTCACCGGACTTTCTGAGGTAGTTAAAACGCATTTACTTCGCATTGAGAGGAAAACATGGTTAGCGTGACGGTAATGGGACTCTAAGCCATGCGTAGCACTGAGAATATTTATGTCAGTGTGGAGCTTGTATGGCCCAGCCATCGCTGGGATTCGAACATGGTCCACTTCATTGGATGGTGCACGCTCTATCCCCTAAGCCACCACTGCTCTCTATTAGACTAATTTTATTTTATAACCGTAGTTGAACAGCCGACTCTAGTTTGGGTTTACGACTACTAATGTTCAACTCTGGAACCCTGTAATTTTGAACCCATTCCAGAAGACAAGGAAACTCCTGGATGAGTACCCCCAGAGGTATTAATTTGTTATGGGAACATAGAGGGCTTTGTGATGAGGCACCGCGGTTGATGGAGTCAAGTCTCGCCTGTTCTGCCCACGGCTAAGATATTGAACTTTAGATTTAGCATTGGTATCAGATAGATAGATCCAAGCTTCATCAGTTGTAATGAACTTTCGCCATCTGTCCTTACGGAGGAGCTTGTAGAGGGGACATGAACGTTGCCTTCTAATCTGCACCGATTTCTCACTTAGATGATGTCATTTAGGATTTTTATGGCATTTTTTCTTCAACTTTTGTTTTAGTTGATAGCTTACAACTTGCTGACTCACGTTAAGAGCTTTAGCCATGCTTGCCTGTGTTGGTGGATCCGGTTTTGATGTCGTCTTATGAAGCTTCTGCAAACCTGATTTCTTCAATTTGCTTGGCCGTCCACTTCTTTTTGGTTTTGCACTATTTTGCATCAATCCGAGTTTTGAATTCTTGATGCGACTGATATGGCTGAGTGATATCGCAATACCTTTCTTTTTAAAATGGGTTTGTATAACCCTGTGGCTCCATCGAAGTTCTAAAAATGCTTGTACTTGACCAATTAGATTTTTTTTCAATTTTCTTCAAAGGCATTTTTGTGATTTCATGAAATAGTATTGCAATTGAAAGTCTAATAGCAGAGCTTTAGATCAGTATGTTATATATGTAAAAAGGTTTTAAAACTTTAGTGGCACAAAAGTGATCCCTATACTTTTTTGTTACCCTGTAAATATGACTTAGCATCAGAATAGCAATTGAAATAATTAAATTAGAATATTATTTAAGTTTACATAAAATTTGATACTTTGCTGGGATTCAGTGAAAATTTTAATTGAAAGAAAATTTTAATTAAGCTGGATTACATTATTTCGACTCTACTTTTCTGAAGAACACACTCAAATAATGCACAAAAAAAAAGCTAAAATATTTCCATTTTTTTATTCATTTCCCCCTCTTCTGACTTTACGTTATTAGATTAAACAAACCACCTCTTTAGAAGACTTATTTTTTGGAAGAGCATCAAAATTAAATTTAATTATAATTAGAATCATATAGTATGATGCTGTTGCTCGAGGACAACTCATGATAAACTTTCCACACTGAAACACTCCGGTACTTTTTCTCTTCGGCGCACAGCAAAAACCTATTTAAACATTGTCTACATCAGTACCTATATTAGTATATTTGGTATTCATTAAAACAGCACTAATTAATAAAACCGTGTTAAGTGCAGTAATTGATGGTTTCGAGATAACGGATATATTAATAGAGTTCCTTAAGTCTAAATTTTAAAGTGTGTCTTATTTCGACAAACAGTACTAACTACCAAAAAATATTGAGTCAATAATAGTATGGCAAAATTTAACGGCTTCCCTAAACGAATCAGTAAACCCTCTACATTAACTTAACTTTTTAGTTCATAACTTAATTTATTTATAGTTGATTTTAAATTATTTAATTTTATTCTGATGCGTTTGAAAGCAAACAATAAACAAAAAATACACGAGGTTTCATATTAGGAATACTAATTCATTGACGTAAAGCACGTTATCCTCGTTGATCACAGAGAATGTAAAAAGAGAAGAAAAAAAAAACATTAAAGAACGTGCAATTAACTCCAAAACAGAATCGTCTGCAGTTCAATTCATAACAATGGCTTTTGCTAAGCTCAACAGAAAAATTCATTCCTCAATTAGCTCTCTCGAACTGATTTGAAATTTTTTAACGAAATTTGGGATAGGGGTTGAAATTCCTCAATGTAGTCGATGTCTAAATTTCAGAACCTGAGCACAAATGGTTCTGGAGTTAATCGCGTATCAAGTTTACACACTTATAAATACCTCACAAAAGAAAATTGAAAAAAGTGTCCCCTGTTAAAAATGATACAACTGGCCTCTGACCAGAAGTAAAGTTTTCGAATTTCGCTCCATACTTATAAAAATTAGCCTTCAGGATAATTGCGAATTGTGTGAAGAGTTAATCAATCATATTGAATTTGATCTGGTTTATTATAATAAACAGTTAATAAGAATACTTATAAAGCACCTTCACTAATTGGGCTTACAGCAAGTTGTCTGAAATAAATCAGGTTAATTGAGCTATGAAAGATAGATTTCCCATAAAAGCCTAAGAAATAACTAATATTAACCTAAAGTAAACCTAAAATTGATTAAAAAAATTTGTGGACCTTTCAAATTAGCCTGGTACATTGCAAAATAATGATTCTATTTGAAAAGGGTCGATTTATACAATTGACCTGATGTTGTTTTTATTGCTAATATCAGCATGCTTGCTTGGGAAACCAAGCGAATTTAAGGCAGCATTTCTAGTTTTTCAGTGACGCTATCTATGGCCAAGAATGCAATTTCAGCCACACGCAGATCATAGCCCGTTTTACAGGACCAACCCATTCATTCATTCATCCACAGATCGCAAGTTTGACCTGTACCACAGAACAATCTATTTCCAACTAACCCCAGAGGTATCAATTTGTTATTGGAACTTGTAGGACTTAATGGCCCCAACAACGTGCACCAGTCACCATTTAATACAGTGGGTTTCTTCGGGATTCGAAATCCCGTTCTCGCAAACTCGAGTCCGACGTCTTACTAACCAGGCTATCCCGTCTTCAATTAGCCTACGACATACATCATACTATGACATGTTAGATATGATATATGATATTATGATACGATAAATATTTGCCAACTATTCAAAATTACTCTTATCTAAATTACTCTTATCTATTGTAGAGCTACCCGAAGAAGAAAAAGAATGCTGGGATATCTTCGATGCTAAAGTAAACTGGAATTTAATTATTTAACTTTTCAAAATTTTTGATTTATGATAAAATTTTTGATTTATGAAAATCTTTTTTAATTATGATAAAAATTTTTATTAATAATTTTTAAAGTTCTTGATTACAAGTAATCTTTATGAATTGTAAAAATATAATGGTTTCCGTAATATCAGCCTAATTTCTGCAATTCAAAAAATAAAATAATAGGTAAATAAAAAAAAAAATAAACAACAATAAAGATTGAGGAAATTTGAAATTCATTACTTAAAAACTTAGTTTTTGCATTGAAAACTGTGAGAAACATTTCTAAACTTATGAAAATTGTGCAAGGTGTATCCAAAAAGTAAGTTTCCCTTATGGTGGAACTTATTTATTGGCGACAAGTACAACAATGTTTCAGCTATTTTTCAACATATCCACCACCTGAATTGAAACACTTAATGTATCGTGGGATCAACTTTTGTATCCCTCTGTCATAGAGCTCTGTCGCCTGTGAATGGAACCAGCGTGTGACAGACGTCTTCAGCTCTCCGTCGTTGCCAAAACTCTCACTGGAGGACAAGAATTTCTTGAGGCGTAAGAAAACGTGAAAATCGCTGGGAGCCAGATCATTGTCATAGAGGAGTAAAACACCTACAGTAAGTATTTCACGCTTCTTGTTTTGAATGGCGCGTCGCAATTTCTGCAGTGTTTCACAGTAGCGGTCAGCGTTTACTGTTTCATCATGTGGATGGAAGTCAATGAGCAGAATGCCCTTCCTGTCCCAGAACACCGCGCACATCACTTTCCGTACCCACAGCATCCTAAGCATTGAATTTTGTGCTCGGGTGACAGGTTTTTCGTCACACTCTAGTTCCATTCTCAGGCGGCAGAGTTCTACGACAACGGATACAAAAGTTGATCCCACGATACGACAAGTGTATCAATTCTGGTGGTGACTATGTTGAAAAATAGCTGAAACATTGCTGTACTTGTTGCCAATAAATATGTTCCTCAAAGTGTGAGTTCTTTGTTTTTTAAAAAATAGGGAAACTTACTTTCTGGATGACCTTCGTATATTACCTTCACAATTATGATACTCAGAAGTCTCATTTAGTTTTATTTAACGACCGGCGTTGAGGAGCTGACCCAATTTTGAGTTTACAACTATCAATGTTCAATTTCCTAGCCTTGAAATTTTGAGACTAATCCATAACACAAAAGAACTCCTGGATCAAGCAATGTGACAAACTATCCTTCATGGAGAACTTTTTTTGCTGATGAAACTAACCCGCATTCACGTTTCATGGAACGGAACTCTACAAGAATTGCCTACTGTTAATCTGATGGCAAGGGGATTCTAACCCATGATCCATCTACCACTAAGAATATGTGCCCTCCCCAGCTGATATAGAAGGCAAAAGAAGCCATCCATCATGCAGCTGGTTTCAAATTATCGAGCCTTTATGAGACTTTAATAACATTTCGCCTTTAGACAATTAGACTTCGGCAATTAGATTTGATTTAGGCAATTAGACAATTTAGACATAAATCAATTTGTTTTTAAACAAGAACAGTTATGGGACAGCTGTACTTCTTCATCAAGCATGTAAATAATTCAACTAAATTGTAAAACTTGTAACACAAATGTAAGACTTGCCACCAAAGTTGTAAAATTTGCACTCAATTGCTCAACTTAGAAAATATATAAGAAAGCGTCATATAAAACCAAGTCAGCACTTTCAACTTATCTATTGCTTTCATTTATCCAAAATATCATAAACTGTCATGTTATTTAGAGATAAACGAAACACACTCTAGGCTAATTATTTAGTAACACCAATGTATAAAAAAATTTTGCTTAGAAAAGTTCCGATTTTTATGTCTTTTTAGTAGTTAAATTGCTTTAATTTCGAATTGCTTTATTTTCGGTAAGTTCAGCATCTCGTAAAACCACTTTTCATTATAATTTTTATTCATAAAAGCAGGTTTTGCATTACGTTTAAAATGTGCCATGTCTTCATTCTAATAAATAGCGTTGTCTGACTAAATCTAACTTTTTTATTATTATTATTATTTTAATATAAACCCGGTTTTATCCAACCAGGTTAGATCAAATCGAGTATTAGCATGTTTCCAAGTAATAATTATTATGCCCTCCTAATGGTATTTATTTTGCATTGAGTAAAATCTATTTTTAGAACTAAAGAGCATTAATTTACCCTTTAAATAAATTTTTCAAGAATTTCATTCATGCAACTTAGAAAAAAATATAAAACTTACAGACCCGGATTTGTCCAATTTTCTTTTATTTTTAGAATTATTTTAATGCAAACCCGATTTTGTCCAATCTAATCGATTACTAGCAAGCATCCAATGGGTCATTCTCACTGAAAAGGTATAAATTGACTAAAAACGTTTCTTAAAATAAAGTAATTAAAAAAGTGATAAAAACTACATAAATGCCTTTATTTATTTTTGCTATATGTCCATATAGTAATGGTCAAGTTTTCTATTTTATTTTTTACAAGATTTAAAATATTTTAAATTCTGCCTTGTCCACGGAGGAGATGTAATAGTCAACGGAGGAGACATTTTATGTTATAAAATATAAAATGTCAATGACGACTAATTCATTAATTATTGGGTGCAACTGATATGAGTTTAACATTAATAAGTAAATAATAAAATATTTCATTACTAGAGATAGAGCTACTTCCGATTAATCATGCTGCTATGAAAGGAAACATACATTTTTAACCTAGGTGTACAATTTCTTAAGTAACTCTTACTGAATATTAATAAATTAAAATGTAAAGACCATTGAAATAAAAATTCAGACTCCACATGAAAGTTGAGTGTTGAGGGTACTCTTTTATGAACATTTTATGCAAGTTAAACATACTATAATCCAAATAACGTTTTTATTTTTTCTCTTTAATTCTTGTTATTGTTTCTTTTTTCCCTGGGGACAAACGGCTTGCTCTATCAATTTCTAGAAATTAAGTACATTTAATCACGATTTTTCGGATAAATCTTCTTCTGATACAAATTTTAAAGTTTCTTGCTCTTTTTCTTTTTTTCTTTTTTTACTTTCTTCAAACAATATAGGGTTTTCTTTTAATTTCTATCTAGCTTGTCTCATACTAAGTTTTTTCTGTTCCCTTCTCTTTTGCATTTGAACATTTGATTGCTTTCTTTTCTTAAATTTTGGTTTTGCAATTTTTTTCCTAAAATTTGAAGAGAAAAAAAATGTTAAACATCACAGAAATTATTTAGAAAAATTGCCAATATTTACTTCTCCGATAAGAAAAAGTTAAACTTAATTGATTTTCTTTAAAAATAGAAACAAATTAACACATTTGTTCCATTTTAAAAAATATCAATTAAAAGAAAATAGTTTTTTAATTATTAAAATTGTATTATGGTTATCTAACACATTGTCTCTTACATTGACTGTGTCTTCTCCTCCGTGGACTTGTTATGTCCACGGAGGAGACAAAAACTAGTTCTTGAATTTTTCTGATTTTTAATTTTAAAGTTACAAAAATGGGGCAGTTCTTTTTGTTAAATATACTATTTTTGCAATCTAAAATTCATCTATCAAAAATAAAATAATTTTCTCTTACCTTCTTTATGATGTCCACGGAGTATACGGTGAGAACTTTGCCAAACCCCAGTTGAACACAACAATCCAAAACTCACACCAAAGAAAACAAAGACAACTGATAGTTAACATTATAAAATTGAATAGTTACCTTTCCCAGAAGCTGTCTTATAGGAATTTCGCAAATGCTGCCCTTTATTGCATATTTATGGAACTATATTAATTGTCCACGGAGGGAGATATTATTTTTGAGGGACAAAGTTTACTAGTCATTTACTTTATAAAAATAAATTAAAAAAAAAATTAAATAAAAAGGTTATTATAAACATTTAACTAGGTAAAACTACAAAAATCATTAAAATAACATTTAAATTGTTTAACAGCCATTAAAAATTATTTTGTGTTACAGACGTAGGGACGTCCACGGAGGGGATTTTGAAGTTATGTTTATTAAAAAATAAGAATGAAATATTAAGTACATTTCGCAGAAATGCATATGATTTGTAAGTTAGAACTTTACGAAAAATGATGAAGAAAAATATTAAGAAATCTGATGTATTTCCTAATATTTATTGCTAAGGGACATAAAAAATCACCTTTTTGTGAGAATGACCCCAATATAATATTTCCCTCCAAATGGTATTTTTTTTTACATTTACTAAAATTTATTTTTAGAACCAAAGAACTTTAATTATTCCTTCAAATAAAAAACTTAAAGAATTTTATTCACTCAACTTAGAAGAAAAATAGAAACCTAAAGAACTGGATTTGACCAACATTTTTCTTTTTATTTCTGGAATCAGAGTTTTTTAAAAAAAACTCATTTATTAATGCCATAATTTTTAATCCACATTTTTGAAATGAATTCAGCAATGTTTTTAAAAAAATATGAAATTAAAATACTACATTTTTTTTCAAAAGTCTATATGAGCAAGTAAAATGAAAATTTTATTTATGTTATTTACACATTTACATTTAGCTGCGATAGTTCAGTGGTTAAGGCATTGGGCTGTAATTGTGAAGAGTTGTGGTTACATACCCATCTGCGGTTAGAAGTCCACCCAGCTTCAGATCGATGGGTACGAGTTTGTCTGGGATTTAAAGGCTGCCTGTGCGCAGTGTTGCCCCCATTGCCACAATCATGCAATTGGTCTCGAAATTATGGAGCCATATCCTACACCACCCCCTTGGCCTGCAACGGGATGTCGCAGGAATCCTTACACTTTTTTGATGAAAAATTGACAAAAATGAATATTGTTGTTATAATTTCCAAAAATATTAACGTCTGTTTTCCACCTTTAGTTCGCGATGATAAAAAGTTTACTTTTTGCCCGCTATTTAAGTAGAAAAATACCAACACAATTTTATTTTTTGATTATATTTTTTCATGAACATCAACAAGTGGTAATGATCAAAAAAATTTTTTTCAGTAATTTTTTTACACTTAGGTCAATTTCTTTCTTCAGTTCAGACCATTGAGCCTTTGTCTAATAGAACGCAAGGCGAAATGCTGCAACCCGAGAAGATAAATCACTCTAGGACAAATATAACTAAAACAAGCAACGAGTTACAGCTTCACATCTGTAATTTCTCCCCATACTAGCGCCACAACAGTTTTCGTTTCATTTTCCCAGTCTCACCATAGCAATTAAAGAATCTTACTGCCTAATTTCTTCACTTGAAATATGAGTAAATAGCATTAGAGCTGAATATTCCTAGATGTATATTTTCAATAGTCTGAAAATACCAATTTTTTTTTTTCTATTGAAAGTAAATGATGAATGTTTACTTTCTATAAGCATCACTGGATGGCAGCACCAGTTACTATAGTTAATAGTTCTATAAAGTTTTTGACTTATTGCAATCAGAGATATCGATCTACTTACTATAAAATTTTCTTTTTTATTTGTAAATAAATTATTAGGTGTGTAACAGTCCACTGATTAATAGAACGATGCATCACGAGCACTAACAGATAATTTGTATAATGAACTTAATCTAGCAGCTGAAACAATATACTAAGACTAACGTATGATGCTGCACGGCTTGCACCACAACAGGAACAAACAGTAATATACAAGTAAAAATATGCTAAATCAGGTCTGCCAAAAAAGTTAGTTCTTTCTAAATCTGACAACCGTTTCACCTATTTTCTAACACTAACTCTATAAATGACAAAAACAAGCTTTCACTTCAAGCTCACCAGAATTACTTAATATCATTAATATCTCATGAAATATAGCGCAGATTTGAGATCAGAAATTATATAATTTATTCCTTTTATTAGACATAAAATCATCTGATTGAAACTATCGCCTGGCAGAATAAGCTGTGGTAAGCAGCTGTGTACTTTCTTACTGGAAGTAAAGCGGGGCAAGAGCTTCAGAAAAAAAAAATTAATTGTCACAAGATAGTAGCATCACTAGGAAAACGCAAGCTGGTTTTAAATTTAAGTGGAGTAAGAGCCTCCTTTTCCCCCTTTTTGGTTGCAATAAATTTGTTGGATATATTGTGTGTCAAGGTAGAGACACTGTGGTTCAACGCTGAACTGAGTTTCCTGAGTGTGTAGCTTGTTTATTTGAAGTTTATTTTGTTGCTTGTTCATATAGTGTTTTGTTGCTTGTTCATATTAGTATTTTTGCTTGTTCATATTTCAGTCTTGGGAAATCATAAGAAGAACGATGAGAACAGCCTGTAATTTGAGCATTCCAGAATGTGATCCGGGGAAGGGGAGATATGAGTGCCTAATGTCAGTCGCATGCAATGATACAGAAAGAGAGAAAATGGTATGGAATTTTGAACTATTTTTTTCTACTTTTGTAATACTTATTCCATTTCTTAAGAATTTGAACACCAATTCTAAATACTAATTTTGATTTCTAGTTTTATTATGATTCTGCTTGTTTTTGTTTTTCCCTATGTAGAAGCACATTTTATTCCATGACTTCCACTTCACAAGTATTGGTGACATTAAGATGACAATTAACACCATTTTAAAACAAAACAGAACTGCGAAACCTATAACTATTATCCTATATGTGTGTCCAATAGAGGTAAGAGTAATACTTAGGTGCAGTAGTGAGAAAACTAAAACAGAAGCCGAGTTGGTGGTTCTGACACACACGATAGCGTTATCAGCAGGAGAAAATTACCATGTAGTCAGTGTAAAAACAGTTTCTGCTGTTGGCTGTAAAATACGACAAATAATCATAACATCCGATTACCCCAAGAAAGACCAGAGGAAACCAAAAGCAAATCAAAACTGAAAAAAACTTTTTCATTTTTTCAGTGCATGCGCAGTATAAACGAACTAGCTTAAATGCTCATAAGTTGCTCAGCTTTAAGAGAATCTTTTGAAAAATATTTACATCAACAATTTTGTAATTAATCTTAAATTGCCCCAAAAATTTTTTTTAATTTTATTGAATATCTATAAAGTTATAATAAAAAAAAACTTAAGGCGAAGAAAAAATAATTATTCTTAAAAATGTCCATTTATCATTAAATATTTACTCTAGGTTTACGAAACTTAATGCAGGTATTAAAATAACAACTAAAGTAATCGATACAAGTTACAATCCTATTACTTGATTTTCTGGCATAGGGTTCAAAAAGATTTGTTTTTCTTCGTAATTTATTGTAGATCTCTCAAACCTTTGAAAACCTTACATTTTATTGCAAAGTATGAAAAATCGCATGAACTAAACAATTCTAAAGTAGCATATATATATATATATATATATATATATATATATTACTNATATATATATATATATATATATATATATATATATATATATATATATATATATATATATATATATATATATATATATATATATATATATATATATATATATATATATATATATATATATATATATATATATATATATATATATATATATATATATATATATATATATATATATATATATATATATATATATATATATATATATATATATATATATATATATATATATATATATATATATATATATATATATATATATATATATATATATATATATATATATATATATATATATATATATATATATATATATATATATATATATATATATATATATATATATATATATATATATATATATATATATATATATATATATATATATATATATATATATATATATATATATATATATATATATATATATATATATATATATATATATATATATATATATATATATATATATATATATATATATATATATATATATATATATATATATATATATATATATATATATATATATATATATATATATATATATATATATATATATATATATATATATATATATATATATATATATATATATATATATATATATATATATATATATATATATATATATATATATATATATATATATATATATATATATATATATATATATATATATATATATATATATATATATATATATATATATATATATATATATATATATATATATATATATATATATATATATATATATATATATATATATATATATATATATATATATATATATATATATATATATATATATATATATATATATATATATATATATATATATATATATATATATATATATATATATATATATATATATATATATATATATATATATATATATATATATATATATATATATATATATATATATATATATATATATATATATATATATATATATATATATATATATATATATATATATATATATATATATATATATATATATATATATATATATATATATATATATATATATATATATATATATATATATATATATATATATATATATATATATATATATATATATATATATATATATATATATATATATATATATATATATATATATATATATATATATATATATATATATATATATATATATATATATATATATATATATATATATATATATATATATATATATATATATATATATATATATATATATATATATATATATATATATATATATATATATATATATATATATATATATATATATATATATATATATATATATATATATATATATATATATATATATATATATATATATATATATATATATATATATATATATATATATATATATATATATATATATATATATATATATATATATATATATATATATATATATATATATATATATATATATATATATATATATATATATATATATATATATATATATATATATATATATATATATATATATATATATATATATATATATATATATATATATATATATATATATATATATATATATATATATATATATATATATATATATATATATATATATATATATATATATATATATATATATATATATATATATATATATATATATATATATATATATATATATATATATATATATATATATATATATATATATATATATATATATATATATATATATATATATATATATATATATATATATATATATATATATATATATATATATATATATATATATATATATATATATATATATATATATATATATATATATATATATATATATATATATATATATATATATATATATATATATATATATATATATATATATATATATATATATATATATATATATATATATATATATATATATATATATATATATATATATATATATATATATATATATATATATATATATATATATATATATATATATATATATATATATATATATATATATATATATATATATATATATATATATATATATATATATATATATATATATATATATATATATATATATATATATATATATATATATATATATATATATATATATATATATATATATATATATATATATATATATATATATATATATATATATATATATATATATATATATATATATATATATATATATATATATATATATATATATATATATATATATATATATATATATATATATATATATATATATATATATATATATATATATATATATATATATATATATATATATATATATATATATATATATATATATATATATATATATATATATATATATATATATATATATATATATATATATATATATATATATATATATATATATATATATATATATATATATATATATATATATATATATATATATATATATATATATATATATATATATATATATATATATATATATATATATATATATATATATATATATATATATATATATATATATATATATATATATATATATATATATATATATATATATATATATATATATATATATATATATATATATATATATATATATATATATATATATATATATATATATATATATATATATATATATATATATATATATATATATATATATATATATATATATATATATATATATATATATATATATATATATATATATATATATATATATATATATATATATATATATATATATATATATATATATATATATATATATATATATATATATATATATATATATATATATATATATATATATATATATATATATATATATATATATATATATATATATATATATATATATATATATATATATATATATATATATATATATATATATATATATATATATATATATATATATATATATATATATATATATATATATATATATATATATATATATATATATATATATATATATATATATATATATATATATATATATATATATATATATATATATATATATATATATATATATATATATATATATATATATATATATATATATATATATATATATATATATATATATATATATATATATATATATATATATATATATATATATATATATATATATATATATATATATATATATATATATATATATATATATATATATATATATATATATATATATATATATATATATATATATATATATATATATATATATATATATATATATATATATATATATATATATATATATATATATATATATATATATATATATATATATATATATATATATATATATATATATATATATATATATATATATATATATATATATATATATATATATATATATATATATATATATATATATATATATATATATATATATATATATATATATATATATATATATATATATATATATATATATATATATATATATATATATATATATATATATATATATATATATATATATATATATATATATATATATATATATATATATATATATATATATATATATATATATATATATATATATATATATATATATATATATATATATATATATATATATATATATATATATATATATATATATATATATATATATATATATATATATATATATATATATATATATATATATATATATATATATATATATATATATATATATATATATATATATATATATATATATATATATATATATATATATATATATATATATATATATATATATATATATATATATATATATATATATATATATATATATATATATATATATATATATATATATATATATATATATATATATATATATATATATATATATATATATATATATATATATATATATATATATATATATATATATATATATATATATATATATATATATATATATATATATATATATATATATATATATATATATATATATATATATATATATATATATATATATATATATATATATATATATATATATATATATATATATATATATATATATATATATATATATATATATATATATATATATATATATATATATATATATATATATATATATATATATATATATATATATATATATATATATATATATATATATATATATATATATATATATATATATATATATATATATATATATATATATATATATATATATATATATATATATATATATATATATATATATATATATATATATATATATATATATATATATATATATATATATATATATATATATATATATATATATATATATATATATATATATATATATATATATATATATATATATATATATATATATATATATATATATATATATATATATATATATATATATATATATATATATATATATATATATATATATATATATATATATATATATATATATATATATATATATATATATATATATATATATATATATATATATATATATATATATATATATATATATATATATATATATATATATATATATATATATATATATATATATATATATATATATATATATATATATATATATATATATATATATATATATATATATATATATATATATATATATATATAAAAATTCTGAAACTTTAAAATGTTCGAGGTTAATTCCTTGCTACAATAAGAAAGAATGAATTACCAATCTCGTTTGGTAATGTATATCAGTTACTGCTGCTTATCAAAAGTATACAGTAGAGTCTCGATTTTCCGTACCCCGATTATCCGCTTTAACCGAGCTGTAAAATATTTCAAGGATTTTTTATTGTTCCAGTTTATTTTTTTATTTTTAAAACTATGGCGGAAAAAAATTCTGAATTTTATCTTCCAAGTACTCAAGAAAGCAAGCTGACGGATAACACGAGATTACCGATGAAATGATCGTTAATATCGTCAATAATGAAAATGAATCCAACGAAAATTATGAAGACAGTTACAATGGAAATCAACATGTGAAATTCTCTCTTACAGATAGACTAAAAGTTATCGAAAATTCTATTGAATATATAGAACAACAAGAAGAGGTGACACTAGTATTCCTGTTATCCCTAAAAAAATAGTGAAACATTGCAGCCGAATTGCTCTAAAGTAATATAAAACAGAAAGCGATTAAGAACTTTTTAAGTAAAAATACATTCATTCTCGTCAAATAAGCTCTTTAAGTATTTTTAAGTAAGTTTTTTTAATTATAATAGAAATTGTATATGGTGTACTCGTATAAATTTTGCAGTTGTTAAATATAGTACATTTATAGGGTAAACCAACCAGTGAAGGAACATTTCACATATTTTTTTTTAAAAATAAAATTTTAACCGCTTCAATTTAGATTGATTGGTAACAGTAGCTCACTACCTAACAATAGGAAGTCATCTAACAATGCACTGGGTGAAGCGGTCATAGAGTCTTCTCTAGAAAAATTTTTGAATTTGTCAGTATCTGTTCAACGCCTTGTTTCTTTGACAAAATAATAAGGTCAGTGTTTGTAGTTATCCGTTTAAAGTACAATTAATTGCATAAAATATGCTTTTTTTCTCATTGTGAAAAAGAGAAACCAAAATATGGTTGATGAAGTAATGTTTTATTTATTTTAAGCATCATAATATAAGAAATTACTGAGATTATAGGTGTTTATTAACTGGATTACCAAACGAGGAAAAACCTAATGAATGAACAAGTGTTCCTATACTGGGATTTTTTCAAGTTAATGAAAATAAAAGAAAAAATTTAATTTTCTTGTACCTCTAGTCATATCTTTAGTCATAACTCGTTAATAAACAATAACTTAACTTTTTAACTTAAACTCGTTTAATAAACAATATTTAACATTGTTAACGTACAATACAAGTATATTACATATAAATATGTACTATGTATTAACAAATCTATTTAAGATGAACATAAAAACATTAATTATTAGATTTTTTAATATTTTCAGATTTTTTCTTATTAATTAAATCTTAGGTAACATTTTTATGATTTTTAGATACAATCAAGTATTTGATATGAATTGACATGAATGAATAGTTGAATGAATTCCCTCATTTAACGCCTTCCAAATAGCCTCCAACTCCGCAACTTGGAATGATCCTTGCTTATTAACAGTCTCTTATTAAATGTCTTAAACAATTAGCATACGGAAATTAAAATGAAAAATAACAATATAAAAATGAAAAATAATTTTCACCGTGAGATTTCGAATGCTTCGCATGAATTTTGTTCGAAATCGTGCTACCGTGAATTCCGAACTTTTTTGACGCTTTCGAAGCGGATAAACCAATTTTTACTTCCGCCAAGAATTTTTCTAAAGCTTCTTCGGTGTAGTAATCACAATAATTTCTTGCTCCATGCTTTCTTGGCATGTTTTTCTCAGAAAATAAAATTGCACAAAGTCAAACCAGGGTGCATTTTTTTATTAATTATAAACTAACTAACATTATAATAATTAAAAGCCGAAAATTATGCATGATTTGTTATCTCAATGACTTTTAAAGTGTAACCTACCTTCCTGGCCAGGATAACTAGAACTTCTTCAATCGAACAGACTTTCCAGCCTCCGATTTTGTGACGTTAAAAAATTTGAAACTGTGTGTAACTTGAGGTCACAATTTTCCAAGAACGACGATGTTTACATTGCCAGTTCTTGGTAAACCGTTAGTTCGTTATGTTGACAACTCACATCAGTTGATACCGAGCTTTAAAAAAATGCCCCTAGATGGCACGACGCAAAAATTGAAAAAATGACTTTTTGCACAATGTCACCCCATCTGACGGTACTTAAAAAGATTAAAAAAAAACTTCAAGAAATATGGGGGAAAGAGTAAACAAAATAGTTATCCAATTATAAAAATAATAAAAACATTATCGGTAAACACAATGATAAACATTCATGATTTAGAATGGACTATTAAACTGTGAGAAAAAAATAAAAAAACAATTTTTTTAAATTAGGAAAATTTTATAAAGTATGACGAAAAGGAAAAAAATACTTAAAAAGGTTAAAAAAAAAGCTTCAAAAAATATGGGGAAAAATAGTAAACAAGAAAGTTATCTTATTATAATAATAATAAAAACATCATTGGATTACACAATGATAAACATTCATGATTTAGAACAGACTATTAAACTGTGAGCAAAAAATGAAAAACAATTTTTTAAAATTCTGTATTCAATTATATTTTACTCTTCATTCCATGACTGAAAAAAAAAGTAAACTTTTCCACGTTAACTGTGGTTACATGTTGTAATTTCAAGAAAAATTTTGTTTTTGGACATTTGTGAGACCTACGGATTCCTAACGAGCATGAAACATTCTCAAAATTAAGTGTTCATTCACTGGAAAATTTAGTGTTTATTCACTGGTAAGAACTGTTCCTTCACTTGGTCATCTTACTACGTATTATTTGAACCACCAAAAACTTAAAACAATATTATGCAAGTTTTCTATTTTTTTTATGCATAATTTGCCTTTAATAACAAATATGTTGACACCGTCATTTAGCTAAAATTACAAATGTTGAAATTTTTATGATTTATTTTAAAGGCAAGCTAAGCTTAAGTGTTCCTTCACTGGTTAGTTTACTCTAACCGCTCTTTTTCTTTCCTTTTTTAAAATCTTTGCTTTTACCAAGTTTCCCGGTAATCCAAGTAGGTCGTGGTCCACATGAACTCTACTGTATTTTAAGTTCTAGTTTTCAAAAATCTGCTATAAATGGCTATCTTAAGACATTCCAACAATTTTCTTTAAGCTTAAAATGATTATTCCGGAAAACGCTAAGCAATTTTAAAAAATATTTTCATTTTCATATGCTTTTTTTTTCTATTTCTCAGAGCTCGGCAAGCTGTATAAAAGGAACTTTCGAAATATTAGAGTACGAAGTAAGTATTTATTCTAAAAATAAATGTAATTTTTCGCATCTTAAAATAAATTATTTTTGAACTCAATTTTTCTTTAGTTATCCCTTGATCCATCTTTAGGGGAGATTGCAACGAAATTTAAGGTAAGCAGAATTCTGAACTTTTTTTTTTCTTTGTTATTGAGATTTCATACATATTTCTCTTACACGGCTGCAAAAAAGCCTCATTACAACTCCCCGAATGGCAACGCTAGAAAATCGACCAATGATTGCCGCTAAAAATGTCACATGCTAAATCTAGCTGAGGTGGCTCAACATATAGCGCTTTCAAAAACGGAAACGGAAATAACCAGAGAGAGCATTCTCACCAAATGTCAGCTATCACATTATCAGCTGCTGCAATCTCATACTATTAAGCTAGGCAGAAGTGAGTAGTCTTTGTCGATAGTTCTCTATTTTAGTATTTTGTCAAAAACGCTTTTTTTTCACGAATTTTGATATATTACGAATTTATTTGACGATTAATTATAGCCAAAATTTTAACCTATTTAAAGAGATAACAGTTTTAGAAATTTTATCTTAAGATTTTATACTATAGCACATTTCTAATAGGTTTAACGAATTACATGTCATTTATTTGAATTCAAATTTATTTTAATGACCTAGTATTTACTAAAAAGATGCAATTTTAAAAAAAAAAGTTTTTATGTGGATTTGAATGATTGTTTTAAGTTCTTAGAAGTTTGTGTATTTGCTAGGTTAGTGGCGGGCGAAGCGAGCTTGGTTTGCGAAGCAAACCATATAAGATTGCGTAGCAATTTTCGGGGGTTAGCAAGCGTTAGCGAGCAGGGGGCGCAGCCCACTAGTTGAGATTATTTTTCTTTGTATAAGATTTTAAGATTTTTTTTTCTCTCTTTCTTTTTTTTTGATTTTTTTTTTAACTCAAGTCAATAAAAATATGAAAGCGATGAAATTAAACATCAAAAGATTTGATTTGAATTTCTGTTTTCCTTTTATGGCTTCTTTAGTTTCCAAGTTTATCAATAACTATTTTTAAAAACTCTAAAGCTGCTTTGTTCTTAATTGATGGCAAAAAAAAAACTCACCCCAAGTACCATTAGTCTCAGATTTCCTTCTATTCGTTAATTTATACAAATTAGAAGTTAGTGCATATTCAATTTCGTAAGTCAGTGCATTTAGAAATATATTTCTGCTGTAAAATACTATTTTCGTTTTTTTCAACTTTCAAAGTCTTCAAATTAATTTAACTTGCAAAATGGCTTTCCACTATTCTCATTTTCGTAAAGTTTTTTTTTTCCTTTTCAGGTATGTTTTTATCCAATGACTATGTTCTGCTTGGCATTACCCAATTACTGTAAGAGGTAAGTTTCACATTTAATTGGGTACCGTAAAATTGTTAGAGTCAATGATATACAGCAAAAAGTTTAAAATCATAGCAACTTTTAAAATTTAAAAAACCACAAACAGTTAAAAACAAGGCAATTTTAGATTCTTTTATTGAAACTAACCTAAAAAATCTTTTGCATGAAATTTGTTCCGAAAAAATTTCTCAAATGAAACCAAAAATGGCCTTCTGCGGTTTACACGCAATGGTCACTCTCCGGCGACTCCAAATAATGACTGAGTAGAGAGTTCTAATTTAAGTTTGATGCATGAAATATCACTTTAGTCCGAAATAGGCTGTTTATCATTTCTGTACTCCCAAGACAATTATGTACAGTGTGCAAGAAAATAAAACGGACCAAACTGTATAGCTTTTGATCTAATGATCGGATTTTAATGTTCTAGGACTCAAACTTAATAGTTCGAGGGTGATTTCAATTATTCTGATTAATTTGTGCAGAAGTTACGAAGTTAGTTTTAGTTACGAAATCAGATACAAAAATGTTCTTCCTCTGAATAAACATGCCTTTCTTTCAACAGATTAGATTTCTACCCCCTTCCAAATATATATATANTCTTGGATATGGGCCCAGCGCCCTACCGACCAGGCTATCCCGGCCCTCAAATATATATATATATATATAGGGGTAGCCGATATCTAGGAAATATGGTCCCCATAGTGTGTTCAGGAAAACGATCCAAGTTTCAAACCCATAATGTTAATTTTATTTTTTGAGTATTTCGCCATATCTCGAGAACTTTTCACACGAATTGAAGATTTAAAAAGTCGCTTGTCCAAGGATAATTCAGCGCAAAAAATAAATTTTAATAAATATTTATTATTTTTAATATTTTTTTTAAATAACAGTCGCACAAATTTTGAAATGCAAGAATACAATTTTTTACACCATTCTAAAGCTCGCAAGTTTTTAAGTCAAAATATTAAATTTGAGCGAATTTGGTTGTATAGTTCTTAAGTAATCGAATTTTAAGTACACGTTTTCTTTAAAAAGAATTTAATTTTTCAGAGGAAATGTTCAATCACTTTCTCTCAAATTTTGCATTTTGCCATATAAAATTATATACCTTAAAATGATAAAAAAAAATTAATAACATAAAATTCAAATTTGTTTCCTCCATTATTAAATAAAGTATTAAAAGATAATGAACAACTACTTAAAGTTATTTTTTGTATGGAATCATCTTTGGATCAACGTTTAATTGTGAGCAAAAACGTTTTCAATTTGATTAAGAAGTTCTCGAGATATCACGAAATAAGCAAAAAATAAAATTAACATCAAGAGATCAAAATGTTTTGCAGCTCTCCTCATCAAACTATTGTGACTATATTAGCCATATTCCTGCTACCCCCTCTATTTTGGGTTCCAGAGATCTGAACCCACCGATAAAAAGTATGATTATTCGCATACCTTTTCTCGGTTTAAAGTTCATTTTTGCATGTGATTCCGTAACTTAAATTATCGTCGGCACTAATTAATTTGCATTATTCCCTCGAACCATTAAGTTTGAATTTTAGAATGTGAAGATCTGATGATTAGATCAAAAGTTAATCAAATTTTTTTTTGGACTCACTGTACTTTATAATTAATGATATGTTATTTCTCTGATTATAGAATTTTGATACCATTCAAAAACGAACAATAAATTAATTTTTTTTGTTCTCGAAAATGGTGCTAAAATAGCCATTTTTAACAAAATACGAAAAAGCACTTTTTTCATGCAGAAAACTAAAAAAAAAAAAAATTATTTTGTCTCTTTTTCAGTGATTTGACGAAATGAGCTGATGAAATGAGAGAATTCTGATTTCTTAGTATGAAAAATAGAGAAGAAAACTTCTTAGAGAATAACGACTGATTTGTGTCATTAACACACTTATTAAAAATAAATAATGAACCCCTTGAGAAATTTTTTTTACACTCTCTTATTCAGAATGCAATAATAGAATCGATATTAATAAGGCCTGCATTGTGTTTTGTATTTTTAACACAGTTGCACTCCTCATACATAAAATATACTATAGAGGATCGAAAAAATATATACTTTCATTGATTAAAAACACCTTATGTACATGTTATATAATTATTTATTTATTTTTGGAATTACTTTTTCCCTTCTAATATTTAGTATTATTGTATGAAAACAGTGTAAGAAGTAATAAAAAGCAACTAGGATGTAATATAAGTTCATTTATTCAATTAATTAAAATTATGGAAAGCGATTGGAAAAAAAAAATTTTTTTTAAGCAAAATGTTTTTAGTATTGAAAATTGAAATTCGTTTGTGATCGAAAACAATCCAAGAGAATAATTCTTTTAAAAGAACGAACTTTGTAAAACATAAATAAATTAGGATATATTAGTAAATTTGTGATTATATTTGATAAGCCTGGTGGAAGAACCGACTAAGTAACATTTGTTAAAAAATTTAAGATTTCTCTGGAAAATTTCTTATTTGATCTTTATTTAAATATTAGCTATACCCTTGCATGCATTGTAACTCTTTCAGTTTGAATTCACACACACGCACATGCACACACAAAGAGAGAGATAGTATTCTTTTGTAGCCCCCTCAATTTCGTTTTTAGATGTATAATGATTTTACTTTCAACCTTAACATACTGTCCGCATAAAAATTCTGCTGTTTATAAACGAAAACAATATTAAAAACACTGTTCTGAACAATTTGAAAACATGACTTTTTAATTACAATGTATTCATACCATATAGTTCATATTTTCCCCAAAACAATATTTAAAGCTCCGTTCTGAACAACTTAAAAATATGGCTTATCATTACAATGATCTTACCCCTTTAAGTTCATGCTTTTCAACAAAACAATGTTAAAAACACTGATCTGAACGACTTGAAAATGTGGCTTATCTTTACGATGTTCATATCTCTTCAAGTACATGTTTTTCAACTGAACAATATTAAAAACGCAGTTCTGCACAACTTGAAAAAATGTGACTTATCATTACAATGTTCTATCTCTTCAATTGACCGTGCGATTTTAAATTTTAAAATAATAGAAATTCCACTTATTTCAAAAGATGAACCAGTTGGTCATCGGAATCGGATGGCTTTGTTAAAAATATTAGTTCGTTTACATATTTAAAGAAAATGTAAAAATAATTATTTTAATTTATTAAAAAAATCGCAGATGCCACCGTAGGAGTGGTCAACATTCGGTCACATTTTGTTTTACTGCTAAAAATAATACTGTCTGTTTGCAGTGGATTCGTTCCAGTGAAGGTAAAACGAATTTGCTGATCTGTTTGCTAGCAAGTATGATGAATTTGCAGCTCTCAAATTTTCTCGAACGACTTTGTCTAGATTTCGGACCAGTCACATAAAAATTTCAACTTTAATCGGAATTGAGAAAACATATACTAATTGTGACTGTTCAGCTTAAGGGTTTTCTCTTACATTATTGATTGTATTGGTACTTCTGTGGAGTAACTGTTAAATGAGAAAGAGGGTTTTTGCAACTTGACTTTCTTGACCTACAAGATTGACATATTAACAAGATGTTCTAAATTATAATAATTATGAATCAATTCTAAATTATAATTATAACATTCGAAATAAATTTTAAATTATAATACATAAAATTATAATAATTATGAATTTTTAAAAATATTTATAAAATTTACAAATATGAGTTTTATAAAATAGCACCCACGGGAGTTGGAGCAGGGGGAATAGCCTCCTAGTTATGTAAAAAATATTAGAAATTTATAATGATTGTATGAGTTTGAAGATCATCTTTAGAAATTTTATTCAAATAACCAACCTTTTAGTTTGGTATTCCAATTCCTCAAAGCTTATTTTCAACTCGTTTCCATCTTCTGAAACATACCAGAACGCAGGAACTGCTGAATTTCGAAGTCCATTCTATTATGAGAAATTCTGTTAGAATCAGTTTATGAAATTGAAAATCAAGTAGTAATATTTGTATCAAAATATTTGTTCTACGTAGTTCACGCATAAATAAAGAACTTATTAAGTTATGATTTGAAAATATCCAAATTTAAGTGCAAGTTAAGTTTGACAGTGTGAGAATTTTCAAATATCTAGCTTTAAGGACAAGTTATTAAACCATTTAGAAAATTCCCAAACATTTAGTTGTTTAGTGGTTAAATGGTGCTTTAAAAATTCTTAAATACCTTGATTTATGTGACATTTAGAACATTCTCAAAATCCTGGTTTAAAAATATGTTTTGTGATATTTAAACGTTTTGAAAATTCTCAAATACCCGGGTTTTCAAAAAATTCGGATTTAAGGAACTGTTAAGTGAACTTTCACAAATTCTCAGACATCAAGAGTTAAGAGTATGCTAAGTGAAATTTAGAAAATTTTTAAATACCTTGGGTTAAAGAACTTTAAAGGGATATTAGGACATTTTTTAAATAGAACATGTTATTTGTTGTTGCGGAAATTCTCAAAGACCCAGATTTAAGAAGTTACGAAGTGCCGTTTTAAAAACTTTCAAATATCTAAGTTTAAGATCTTATAAGGTGACATTGTCAAAACTATTATGTATTCGTGTTTAAGAATAAGTGTCAATTAGAAAATTTTCAAGTATCCACATTAAGAACAGTTTTAATATAAACTTAGCATAGAATAATAATTTATCTGCCTAATAATTCAACATCTGGATAACGCAATTAATAAACTGTGTAATCTTACTGCGTTTGAAATATGATTATTAGCTTCGAAGTTACGAATAAGAAAAGTAATTAAATTGTCATATTTTATCCTATCTTAATTTTAATCTGAAAAATAAAAAGCGTTTGCAATCCAGTTTTTAGCGCTTTAAATGCTCTACCAATGATGCACTTTCCAGGTTCATAAAAATTTGCAAAAAATGAGAACCATAGATTGATTTTAATAATTTTCCAATAGCGGGAGTAGTAACTTTTAAAATAAATGTTTAATAATTTTTTCTTAAATATTTAAGCTGCTTGTTTGTTCTAATGCCCAGATAATTTTTAAAGGCCTAGATAATTTTTTATTGTAATTATAACTTGCCATTAAATTTAAACTGTTTTGTTTTCATATTAATTGGCGAAAAAGCTTCTAAGAATCTCTGATTTTACGCGAACTTATAGATAAATTATAAATATTGTAGTTAAAGTATGTAGCAAGCAAGTATGTATAAAGCAAGTTAAAATTTTCTATTATATTAGCCAAAAGAGAGCGTGTTTCATAATGGCACGATATTTTTTTTTATTAATTATTTCTGATTAAAAATTATAAACCAAATTTAAAGTAAAACGGTGAGCGAAACAATTGTTTTTGCAACTTTACGAAAACAACTAATTATATATGAAAACTACAATGAACACCTTGTTTTCTTTTTCAAAATCTTTTAAATTATTTTGCCAACAACTTGCCAAAAAAAAAAAATACAAAGTCAAAAATGACCTCAAATAAAACTCAAAGGACTTTGATTCAAAGGACTTTCTAACCAAATAATTAATTAAACTTTACTATTACGTTTGGTAAAAATATACTCGAGGATGACCCTTAGCGAAATTGGCGACTTTTGTTTGGCGCCATTCCTGTTTGCGCGGAACACCGTGGTAACAGGAATGGCTGCCAAAATATAATGATATTTCAATAAAACAGTGGAAAATTTCAACAAAACATCGGCCGAAACTTTATAAAATTGCAATGAACCCTATATGAGCAAAATTAATAAACCCAATAAAATGCATTTTGAATTGAAACAAAAATTAATGGAGTAAGCACAGAAAGAAAAGGAAAAAAACAACTCACTTCTTCGTTAAGCTTGAATATCCTCAAATTTAGGTGCACCGAATTCTCTAATAGCAGTTAGATCAGGGCTAAAGAGAATAGAAGGGCTGGTTCACTCCTTTGAAGTAGCTCTCGCCGCGCCAATCCTCCGATTTTCTCTAGTGACGTCACTTTGGCATAAAGCTCGCACTTTTACTTCAAGAACGGAGCGTTCGGCCTTACTAGCTCGAACTAATGATAGAGCATTTCTTTTTGCGTTATTTTCTGTAATGACTTTCCTCAGTTTTTGCAGTGAGTTTACAAGAATTTCAAACTATTATCGAAATGCCAGTTTGCGCGATTGCAACTTGAAAAAATTTTGATAGAAAAGCAAAAGGAAAAAATATAATTTTCCGCGTGTTCCCTAAAGTAAATTAACAACTATGTAAAGAATGGATTCCAAAGTGACACAGTTAATATAAAACAGCAATACGTTTATTCTGTCGTTAAGAACTTTTATAAAAATTCATTATCTAAGTAGAAACCGCCTCGTTACTTCAAAAAGAAAGGCAGGTGAAAAAAATTAAAAAATGGATAAAGCCAAAGAAAATTAAAATGTAAATAAAAAGTATAAATAAAATATATAGTATATAGTTGGAATTCTCCTAATTTCATAACATATTTTTTAATGTAGTTATTCTAAATATTTATGATTTTTTTTTAAAAATTATATTCACTTAAATTTAAATACCTATAAATTATATCATCGTAAATTTAAATATCTAAAAACAATTGTAAAATTTCTAATGTCATTATGAACCTAAATTATTATTTTGTTTCAGTAATTAGCGTTTAAGGTTGATGTTTCCTAATGATTAAGTATGAACAAATTGCTATTAACGGCATATTTTAAAATCTGGGATTCTAAATTTAACTCAACTTATTGTTATAAAAGAATATGTAGATAAAAAAAGTGTCGATATATGCTTTCATTTTTCTTAATAATTTAAGATAAAGCTGAACTCTTTAAAATAAAGTATTTATAGCGTCATTTTCGCCAACTAGTAAAACATTTTTATAAGTTTAAAATGGTATTTTTTTTAATATAATGGCCAAGAAAGTTTTTTTGAAGTATGTTAATGAAGGGAAATAATGTGTTAATTGCGTAAAGTTTGAAAACTAATAACCAGAAAAAGTCTAATCTTATTTTTACAAAGAGAAGGATGCAAAGTTATCATAAATATCTTTGCTTGCGATCTCCGAGATCTGTGGACACAGTGACGTCATGAGGAGGGAAATCGTAGCTTCAGATCTAAGAGCGGAGTGAACTAGCCCTTCTATTCTCTTTAGCCCTGAGTTAGATACTGTCTAAATTTATCACGAATAGAATCTGTGTACCTCCATCGCCACATAAATTCTGCGAAATACGAATCGAAAATGATGTCTGTGGTACCAGACTGGCGATGACATTTTTTTCTAAAGTCCCTTTTTATGACTGCCCACATACATTCGATATTATTGACCAGAAGCAAAAGTAACCTTAGCAGCTGGTATTCAACGCAGAACTAACGGGCCTCTGAAATTACATATACCGTTGAACATTTAAAAATAACGCTAAAATCTAAACCAATCAGAATCACGATTGGGTTTCAACATCGCCCAGCTTGGCGATCAACCGCGTTCACAACTTGGCGAGAATCAAGGGCACCCTCATATATAGTCTACCCTTACGCTTAATAAAAGGGAAGATTTATTAACTCAACATCAAAATCACAGCATCTCCTTTCCAAAGAAAAAATCTTACAATCACTCAAAAATTATTTACATTCCAAAAATATCACCATGGCAACCAAAAAACTCTTCTTGTTGCCATCTACTAACTGCCATATAATAAGTAAATTATTTTATAAAAAAAATACTGTGCGCATAAAAGCACAATATCTTACAACAATAGTAGCAGAAAAACTCTCTTTACCTTCTCTCTCTGAGCCCATTGATCTATCACATCGGAGGCAAAATTGAACTTTTCTGGTACTTTAAGTTTCCACGATCTCTCTTCTTCATAACTTCGGAAGCCAGCAACTCTGGGCACATCACAAAAATTTCTCTTCAAAACATCTAAACTCCTTGTCAAGTAAAATAATTTTAATTTTCTTTTAAGTATGCTATACATTTTCCTTTAAATATTCGTTTTTAAATTGACATTTATCTTTTCCTTCAAATAAAATACTCAACTAAAATATTGAACTATATTTCATAAAACAATGAAGCAACGTTTGTTATGGAGGAAACTATTTCTCCATTTTGTGTAATTCTCCGTCATCTAATAGAGGAAGCTAAAATCTAAATCAACGTAATGATATTTCTCCTTACTTTTGAGTGTTTTTGATTGTCTGATAAATGAATAAATTTTAAAGATAAGAATAGAGATTAAGAAAAGTAAAAGAAGTAGAACACTAGCTGATAAATGCATTGGAGCATTTAATTGTTGATTTGGAGGGGAATATACTTTTTACGTCTTTAAAAACTATATAATTTTGGAGATTTTTCTTTAAAGCGAGTATTAAAATACAGATGTGAAATTTTAAAAATATTTTCAACAACTTATGAACAGTCGAACATTTTTAAAGAACAACTTGGAATTAAAGAACAGAATTAAAATTAAAATTCAAAATTAAGAAAACAATTTAGAATTTAAGAAAAGAATTGAAGAGAAAGTTAGAATTAAAATGCAAATTTAAAAAAATATTTAGAAATTAAAAACAGAATATTAAAGAAAAATTGGAATTAAAATGCAAATTTAAGGAAAAAGTTAGAATTTAAGAATATAAATAAAGGAAAAATTAAAATTAAAATGCGAAATTAAGGAAAAATACAGAATTTAAGAACAGAATTAAGAAAAACAATTCAAAATTAAGGAGCAATTAAGAATTAAAAAACAGAATTAAAGGTCAATTCATTATTAAAAATCAGAACTACTCAACAATTTAGAATTATAGGACAGAGTTAAAAAAAGAGCATTAAAGATTAATATTGAATTAATAAATAATTTAGAATTAAATTATTTTTATATAAGTTTTTATGAGCACTTTATCTTTTGCAGAAAATCAGATATACATTTCTGTCGTCAATGCAAAGGTGACAGAGAATTTGTTTAGGTCTATTAGAATCTTTGAAATAGTTATTAGTTTAGTTGTGTTCTATTCTTACTTCAGGTCTCATTTGTTATCGCAGACAACTTTCATAGTTTTTTTTGCTACGTAACTTAAATGCAAGTCAATAAGCTATCAAGAAATTAATTATCAACTTCGTTGAGCTAAAAACCAAAAAAAATTTACCTAAGTTTGAACCTCATATTTTTGAACATAGGAAATTTTCATTTAATAGTGGTTAGTAAAACCACACTATAAATTATTTTACGATTTTATTCAGAAAACGTCACTTCCTGCAAATGTTTTGCAGACAATTTAAAATATTTTGAAGTTCTTATTAGTTTTTTTAAAAATATCCGTGGACTTTTTTCCGATATTCCTCAGTTATTTTGATGACTTCATTTTTTCTTTAAAATGTTTGGAGATTTTTGCGGTCAGATTTGAAGACTTGAATTTTCTTTAAATTATCTGCAGACTTTCTTCTGTAAACATTCCATAGTAAAGTTAAAAACTTAATCTTGTTTTAAAAGTGTTTGCAGAATTTTTATTGATATTTCGTAGGTATTATAAATTATCATAAATTAAGTTTTTCAAATATTCTTTCGACTCAACTTTTAGATTATTGTCGACATTAAAATTTTATGATTTCCAACAACATTGAAAACTACATATATTTTAAGCAGTAATGCAGAAAACTTGAATAGTGATGTAAGACCCCAAGCAATAAATTGAAATATTAGTAGTGTTTTTACTTGTAAAAACTTGGCATACTTACTTTACTTACTAATAAAATTCGATATAAGAAACTTATAGTAGTTTAATGATTTTATAAAAGTATGAGTCTTGGGTGTTGAGTAACTTCATTTATATAAGTTACTCAACACGAAAAAAAATGATATTTCAAGTCAATATTCATTTTTTGAACAATACATGATATGTAACTGATTACAAATTTCAGTCGAGAAAAAATTTAAAATTTCTTTTTTGTGTTTTTATTATTAAGAATAATTCCAAATATCTAAGTACATTACAAATTATATGCAAATTAAGAATCCAACATTATGAACGAAATCTGAAGCTAAGGGTTCTTGAACTTGAAAGTAGTTGTACATAATTGATTTTTCTCACTCTTAATTGGTATGATCACGTACGTTATTCACGAGGAAAGTGCCGAAAAGAAGGAAAACAATTTTTTCCTGTTATTAAAAACATAATTCAAAAAGAGTGCAAAAGTCAAGTATCTGTCAATTTGCAGTTTTAGAAATGAGGAATTTCGATAAAAAAGGTATGTTTTTTGTTAATTTAAAACCATTATTAAATAAGTCATATTTCTTTACTAGTCTCTATGTCATTAAGTCACAGTTTTTAAGCATTTTTCAAGACTTTGCAAAGTTAAAGTTCTAATAATTGTAATTAAATTCTGTTTGAGTGTTGATCACTCACACACACATCAAAATGTGAAGCAGTTCAAGCTTGTTTAAAAGGAAAAAAATGTTCGATGGCAAAGATTTAATAATATTTAGTTTTAAATAGGTTCATACATTTGTGACTTGCTAGTTGAATACCTGTTTTTCACACGGGGACAAGAATTAGTTAGTAAATAAAAATCAGTAAGGAAAAGCACTCTTGCTCTAAATAATTAATACTAAATAATTAATACTACACTAAAATAATTTCAATGTCTTATTTATATATTATTGTTATTTGCCCTTCACCGTAAATTTACGTTATTAGGTTTATCAAAACACATTCACCTCATGAAAAGATTAACTTCAAATAAAAATTAAGGAAATAAGGATGAACTTCAATCAGTATTATATATTAAATAATATTGCATGAGGCCAACTCATGATATTTTAAATTCACCTCAATCAAGCAGTTTTCTCTTGTACTTTTACCCTCGGCCCCTTAAAGGTATCTTCGAGTGGTCATAAGAAGCCAATTTCCGCAGTATTTATGACAAAAATGCTCAGTATTGGTGCAGTTTTAATAGGCATCCAATTTACTCCAAAAGTGCTCTTTGCCTAGATGGGTACCTATCAAAACTGTATCAATAACCATAATACACTCGAGCACATTTTCAACAAAAAAAATTAAACATCATTGGAATCATCATGGTAGTTTTTTTTACATTTCTTCTCAATGAATTAAAATCACTTCTCTATCTTTTTTCCCTTTTAATGCGTAGCTTATTTTTTTATTCAATTAGCATTCACTGCCAAAATTATTTGAGCATCATTATGCCGAAAATAGTACTATGAATTTTTTAATTTCTCCTGTGCAAATTAGTACCATTGCTTTCTTAATTTTGCTTTACATTTCAAAGCTTATCATTATTTTTTTAATTTCAACTAGTTTTCATTACCAAAATTAAGAGAACATTATTGGCGTTAAAAAGGATATGGTGGTTTTTATTTTCTTCTAAAAGAACTTCATTGCTATTTTAGTTCGTAGCTTATTTTTTATTTTGAAATTTTTTTATTATACCAAAATTAATCAAACATCATTGACGTGCCTAATTATATGTGAATTGTTTAAGCTTTTTCTTAGCGATTTAGTACTATTTTGTCATTAATTTTGCTTTTAAGTTCATAAATTTTCTTAAATTTAAATTACCGTTGATTTTAAATTATTTAGCTCTATAGAAATACGCTTTAAAAGCATAACTATAAGCAAAATTAACACGGTGATAGATTTAAGAATACTAATGTGATAACGTAGTTTGCTTAATCTACCATGGTCATATTGATCATTCAGATTATCTGACAAAACGGAAAAAAAAAATAATTAAATGTTGAAGAACGTGCAATGAACTCCTGAGCGCTAAAGGATTACAAACGCAACAAACTAATGTTACTGCTGAAATAAATAAATAAATAAATAAAACGCATTGAAAAAAGAAATATATTTTTGAAACGATTCTCCCGAATGATCTAATTGAAATTTTGTGCTATGTTGACAGTGATCTTTCTCATGATTCGATGTAGTATGCCAGATTTCATTGCACTCGGGCGATGGTTTTGGAATCAATAATGAACAAACAGACATATATTCATTTTTATAAAAATAGATAGATGAATTATTGATGCTACAGAATAAGAAATGATTTATATGTGGATTTCATTGGGACATGATCCATCCGAATTGATTACGTTGCAATAATCCTCAGTTTACGTGTCGAATCGGGACACCTTGGTTTGGCAGTCTTTTCGTTTAGTTTGTTCAGTTTCGCTCAGAATAACATGGTTACCATGATATTCTTTGCTTTCTCCGACTTCAATTACGTCATCTACGAGTTATCGCAACTTTTGTTTACTGTTATGGGATTTGTTCTTAGTTTATTTTCATTCATATTAATTTACTTTCAAATCAACGAACTTAAGAGTGGTTTTAAACTGTTACCTAATCCATTAAAAATAAGAAAATCCAATAACGTTTAAAACTAAATGCAACGCAAAAAGTAAAAAAAAAAAAATAGTGCGTGGAGTCCCTCCGCGCAGAAGAAGTTAAACTTCGCAACCTGCGACGTTAATTGTAGAAGAATCAGCAGTCGTAGAAGGATCACTAGTTCTATTCAACGACCCTTTTTCCTGCTCCGCTCGCTTCCGTGCTCTGTAATCACGGTAATATTGTGCATTTTTCCCTCGTGGACCAAAAAGTTTAAGTGCTTGTGGTTGCCTCATCGTCTCGCCCTGGGAAATGTATTTGTATTAATAATGTATGTGAATGCGTCATAATGTAATTTCAAAAGCGAAACAATCAATTGATATTCACAAGAGACGTACCTTGACATAACCTTAAATTCGTCGGGATTGTTTTCACTCATTTTTTACAATTGTTATCCACTAAATTTGAAAATAAAAAGTACTACCCTACTAAATTATATGTGTATCAAAACAAACTAAAAAAATATTTATTCGCGATCGCAACGAACTATAGGGGGCGTTGTTGTATGAGACGCATACCTGCGATTTCTATATGAACTGTCATTCAGTTACTCTGGAGACATCGTTAATGTAGCACGTAGCATTGCAACGTTCCTTCTTTATTGTGGCTAAATAAATTTAAAAAAGAAAAATGTTTGATATTCTTTCTTATGCAAACGAAAACAAAATGGCATATCTTTTTATTAGAGAAGGAATATCCAAAACATATCGGAAAAATATTTGTACATTAACAGGAAAAAGTATGTACTCTATTCTTATAAGAGTTGAAACCTAATGCCCGAGAAATAGTTTTACTAAATTTAATGATATAACATGAAAGGCCCATTTAAACTTTACATTCTATAGTTTTAAGAATTATATTACTTCAAAAATTAAAATGAACAAAAAGTATACATAAGCCTCATAATTTTATGAAATTTAATTTTGTAAACAACGTTTTTTGACAACAATTTTTATCAAAAAATTTCAAGTTTC